CCAGCAATACCACTCTTGGGAATATACCCAAGAGAGGCCTTATCATACAACAAAAGTATATGCTCTACTATGTTCATAGCAGCATTGTTTGTAATAGCCAGAACCTGGAAACAACCTAGATGCCCTTGAATGGAAGAATGGATGAAGAAAGTATGGAACATATACATATTAGAGTACTACTCAGCAGTAAAAAACAAGGGTTTCTTGAATTTTGCATGCAAATGGATGGAAATAGAAAACACTATCCTGAGTGAGGTAAGCCAGACCCAAAAAGGGGAGCATGGGATGTACTCACTCATATTTGGTTACTAGCCATAAACAAAGGACATTGAGCCTATAATTAGTGATCCTAGAGAAGCTAAATAAGGAGAACCCAAAGAAAAACATATAGGCATCCTCCTGAATATTAACCTTCATCAGGCGATGAAAGGAGACAGAGACAGAAACCCACATTGGAGCACCAGACAGAAATCTCAAGGTCCAAATCAGGAGCAGAAGGAGAGAGAGCACGAGCAAGGAACTCAGGACCGCAAGGGGTGCACCCACACACTGAGACAATGGGGATGTTCTATTGGGAACTCACCAAGGCCAGCTGGCCTGGGTCTGAAAAAGCCTGGGATAAAACCGGACTCTCTGAACATAGCGGACAATGAGGACTACTGAGAACTCAAGAACAATGGCAATGGGTTTCTGATCCTACTGCACGTGCTGGCTTTGTGGGAGCCTAGACAGTTTGGATGCCCACCTTACTAGACCTGGATGGAGGTGGGGGTTCCTTGGACTTCCCACAGGGCAGGGAACCCTGATTGCTCTTCGGGCTGAGGAGGGAGGGAGACTTGATTGGGAGAGGGGGAGGGAAATGGGAGGTGGTGGTGGGGAAGAGACAGAAATCTTAAAGAAAGGCAGAAAGAAAGAAAGAAAGAAAGAAAGAAAGAAAGAAGTAAAAAAAAAAAAAGGAAATCCTTGTGCAAGCCGCCCAGTCTGTGCTCAGGTCCCTTCAGCGTGGCCTTTCTGGCAGAACACAGCAGACTAACAGTGCTCTCCGATTTCTGACAGCGAGCTGACCTCTCAGCAGTCGCTTCTATGAACTGTGCAAGGAAAAATGACACTCTGCGATGGAAAAATCCCCTCGCCAGCTGCCACATCTCCTTCCCCCTATCTGATAACACTGCAGAAAATAAATGCAGAGTACACAGAAAAGAACTGTAAACACAGGAAGCGTAAATCAAGCCATAACGCAATCCTAAAAATATTCCATGTGGGGCATGAAAAGGGTGCAGGAAGGAAATCGTCTTATCAAAAGCAAGTATCTCTTGTGGAAAGATCTAGAACTTCCTGTGTGCCAGCACTTTTGTGGAAGTGAGTCATCCGTGGGGAGCTGTAGCATGAAGTTCGCATCCAGAGCCATTCAAGCCTGACTCTCAGAGGTTATGCTCTCCGATTTCCAGCAAGGCTGGCTTCTTCACCACTGGGGCTCCCCTGTCCCGTCATGTCCCCACTCCCATGGAGCAGCTATCCCCACTTCTTACAGAGATTACCTGCAGCTTGTCTGGAGCAGCACAGATAATGGGGCAGGAGGGAGAAAGCTGGAAGGGGGCTGCCACTCATCAGGAGAAGGCGCTGCTGCAAAGGACCTTAACAGGCCCATGAGGCAAGCACACAGACCTAGCACCATGGCTACCATGGGTGGAGCGGATGCCGTTACTGAACAGTCTGTGCCCAACTCACCCTTCTCTAAGCCTGGATTAGACAAAAGGAGGACCAGGAGGTTGGGGCCTTGTCAGAAACGAGCAGGATATACTAATGAGGAAGGACAGAGAAGCTCCTGAGAGGCCAGATGCCTGGCAGGAAGCAGCCAGGGAGAGTGGGGAGATGGCAACCTGTGTTGTGGGTTAACTTTGTACCCCCTAAACCTCATGGGGGCAGTATGAAAATGTGGGAGTTCTGGAACACGGGGAGATCAGGAGGCCAAGACCCTGTGAATGTCACCAGCATCGTCCGAGACTCCAGATCCCCTTCCTGTAGGTGAGTACACAGGGACACGGTGCCCTTGCAAACAAAAAACCAGATCCCCGCTAGATATGGAACCTGCCAGCCCTGGACATCGGACCGCACCAGTGTAAGTATCCGTGAGCACCCACGTAAGCACCATGTAAGCATCGTGAGAATCCATGCAAACACTCACGAACACCCACCCATGTAAGCACCCCAGTGCAATAGGATTCTATGGCAGTAGCCTGAACAAAGAGGCGGGGCCTGCACTCACAAACACTGCCAACCAGAACAGCCCTTCTTCTGGATACAAACTCAACACAAGCCTCATACTGAAACTCAGTTGCAACAAACTTCAACATCCCTACCTGCTGGTCTCTCTATCCCAGCAGTTCTCACTACAGCTCTCCTAAGGGTCAGCGGAGGCTGGCTCCTGGCTTCCATCCCTGACTGTGCTTCATAGCTAGGGGAACACCCAGGATAGGCCCCATGGCTCCCGGGTTCACCCAAACACTCACAGCTACCCACTTTCTGCTTCGAGAAACACCTCATGTTAGGCTGCTTCTAGTTCTGAGGCCAGCACTGCTCTCCAAGGTACCTTGTGCTCACTGGGGCTGCAGCTGTCCCTGCCCTGGTCCCTCCATTTCAGTGACTAGAGAAACTTGCACACAGAACCTCACTAGTCCTATGTGTTATAAAGAGAGGGGGCCACTCCATGTAAAGATATCCTATATGTTATCATAGCATTGATTCCCACCCTTACTCAATGCCTCCCTTATCACCGGCCTGACCACCACCACCACCACCAAATGACTGGACTTTCAAGTTCAGGTTGGAAATTAAATTTTTATGAAGGCTTCATACCTAATCAATTCAGACTTCCCACGAAGGACCAGAACAGTACAGTCCCTGCGGTGAACAGCTTCAAGTCATCCGCTTACAAAAATAACTGTGTGGCCATGAGTCACCTACGAGGTAAGAACTGCCTCCAGGTGGCCTCTAGATGTCCATCCACATTGTCATTTGCCCAGCCAGTTGGCAAATGGCAGCAACCCACAGGAGCACCTTCCTGAGCTGGAGCAGCAGCCAGCTCCGCAGGACACACAGAGCCAGGAACAGGTCAGGTCCAGGCATGCTCACCAGTAAACATCCCCCTCACCCATGCCAAGCTCCATTCCTTCCCTGTGTCACCTGATTTTTCTCTAAACCACCTCAGTGACAAGTATTTAGCTCCCACCCACGGACCCTCTACACCGCCCCGCATCTCCTGCATGGAGCCACGTTCCAGGAGTCACAGTGCATATAGCGTTTACTGGGGCCTGTGTTCTGCCTATGTTGCCCACTATGGGGCACACAGTGCAGGGTAGGGTGCCTAAGCAGGGCTCCTCTAGAGGGGAGAGAGGATGGCCGATTAAGGTTGAATGACCACCTCTCTGATAGTGACAAAGGCTTGAAATGCATCAGGATGACATAATGTTGTCTGTCTCCCATGCTGTGCCCTCTTAACACCCACCAGGCACTGTCCTGGAAGACTGATGGGGACTTTGCTCCATTCGTGATCACAAAATTTAAACATGGTCCTTCCGAGGCAGCGGCCACAGCTCCCAAAAGGGCCAGGCATATCTCTTTCCAACACAATGAGCTTCCTCACAAAGACAGACATATTAAAGGAAGGCCCACCCTGGAGCATGAGGTCAAGCTGCCACGACCTTCTAGAGCCATGCTCTTCCAGCCAAGCGCCTCAAGAACCGTCAAGGGTATCTCAGAATCTCCTTAGCCTAGGCAGCGTCTTAAGGTCTCCTTCTGCAACAGAGCTTATGTCCCCAGGATATACCTCCAGGGCAAAGAAATCACTTTGTATTCCTGTCCTTCCTGTGTCCAGTGCTAAGACTGGAAACAAACAAATAAAGCCCCAAATGAAAGAAAGAAAAAAAATAAGACAAGTGAGTAAAAATTTCAAATGTGATGGGGGAGAGGTGAAAAGAGAGGGAGGAAGGGAGATAAAGAGAAGAGAAAAATGGGAGGGAGAAATGTAAGGAAAGACAGAATGGCTGGGGAAAAAGACAAAAGGAGACTGGAAGGAAGACAGAGACGGGGGAAGGAGGCTGGAGGAGTGAAGAAGCGCATCCCAGAGGATCCAGCCTCTGCACGGACACGCTCTGGTCATATAAGAATCTGACGCTCATGAACAGAAAGCTCAGATGGAGGTTTAGCATTGCTTTTTCTGGGAGTAGAGAAGTGAGGAGCTTCACCCCAGGCCCCCGTCATCTTCCACGTCTCAGTTTCCCACCATTACCACGGCTCATAAAGAGGCATGAGTGTCAGTGCATCTGTCCAAGAAAACGGGGAGGTGCCCACTCTGGGAGTGTCATTCATAACAAAATGCAAGACGAGCTCCACAATCACCCACCATCTCAACAGAGTCGGTCTGCCAAGACCACGAAAAGATCGTATCTAAATTATTCTACACATGTTAGAAGCTGTGCACATGCCTCGCAGGCTTTCAGATAAAACCTTTTCTAAAATTCCTGTACGTGTAAAGGTTCTTCTGCATTCAAGACAGGCAGGAGGTGGAAAAGTAATGTTTGGTCTCCTCCAAGAAACAAAATTATCTTGAGAAATCACTGTTTCGATCATTAATCACGCTGTAAGAACACGAGTTATATGCTGCACTCTGGCTCTTGATATTTAAACTCTGGGAGGCCTGGGCTCACACAGGTCAGGCAGTGGGATGCTCAGCAGGGCTGAGGCTGAGTGAGAACCCTGCATAGAGCCAGCAGCTCTGATAGAAAAGATGGGCAAGGACAAAGATTCGTCACTGTTACTAAAAATATTATCACTCACAAATTAAAGCCCTTAGAGGGATGGCTGTTTTTCTTTTCCCGTTGGTTGAGAAGGGAGTAGTCATAACCTGGGTGATTGTTTTTTTCCTAAGGCAAAAACCAATTTTCCTTCTGGGTCACTATCCTGGGTGGGTGTGAGCAAGTGCTACACACGGGGGTACTCACCATGATGTCACCCTTTAGCAGCTGGGCCGGCTCTATAGCAATGCGGATCCTGCTGGGGTTTTCAGGGCCAACGTTGCTTCGGGGGAACAAGAAAAGAGATCATTACAGAGTTTCACGATGTCATGACCACAGTAGCACAAGCTGAGAAAATGGCGAGAACCGGCACAAACAGCCCAGACTCCAAGCTCAGCGGCTTTACCTTACAGAAATAAGTCAGCTGGTTCGAGAGAGCTGAGTTGGGGAGAGTTAGTCTAGCCCCATCACAGCCCCAGGCTGGAAAGGTCACACTCAGGGATGTCTCAGCTAGGGACAGACCCAGCTTCTGGGGCAATCTGAGGATGCAATTTCCACAGTGTCATGGTGGGGGGTGGGGTATTTTGAGCCCAGAAAGGGGTAAGGGGTCTTTGTAAGTGCCAAGACATTTTCTGCCATTCTCACAGCTAAGTGCTAGCTATATGAATTGCTAACCAAACTCAGAGAGCCATAAAGGTTCTGAAGATATATATCCAAAAGACAAGCGAGAAAGGAAAGCCCCAAGGGACTTCGTCCTAGCACTTCCCAGTGTATCCACTTCCAGACAGCAACGATTTCTCTCCCAACCTGTTCAGTCCCTTAATGAAACCAACTAGAGACTAGGGGACCAGGCCCCTCTCTCAGCAGCAGCTTGAACACCTCCTTTGGGCTCTCAGCATTACCGGCCCACCGGGTCTGCTTCTTCTTGTGGGAGAGACAACTCATTTCACAACCAACCCACAAGCCACCCTACACACCCGGCACAAGCCACCCTACACACCCAGCACAAGCCACCCTACACACCCAGCACAAGCCAGGCACTTACTAGATCCCCGACGTGTACACGGGCTGCATGGCTTGGTAAAGTTTCAGAAAGGGCCGGCAGGCTGAAAGAGAGGCACGTGCCAGGGAAAGACAGGATTATTAACCCACGCACAGACATCCCAACACCAACGTAACGTGCCTGGACCTCCAACCAGGGGACTACTTCAACCAGAGGGCCGTGGGGGCTCAAAACCAACATGCAGCTCTGTAAGTTCACTTTACTCCTAATGGCGGGGGGACTACAAGCTATGGATACCACCAACTGAAGAGTGCACACCTACGTAGAGGCAGCCAGGGAGCAGAAGATGGGTCCCGCCCTGAGACACGTGTTGGGAGTACCTGTCTAGGACAGGGGCCAGGGTCTATGCTATACGCTATAAGCATCTACATGGAAGAGGGAGACAGGGTCCACGGGAATGTGCTATGGAGGAAAAAGAAAGGACCCCAAGTTAGGGATGGTCAAGCATGCTGGCTTCTCTCCAGTTTGCCAACCTTAAACACAATTGAACCATAGAGCTGCTGAGAAAAAAAGACCCTGGCCTAACAAAGACTTCCTGTACCTGGGTCACGGGGCTGTTTGTCATCCCTTCATGACTGCCTGTCCCAGGGACTGACGACTTGGTCTCACCTTACCAAGCTGGAGCTCTGCCCACACACTGGGGCTGCACACATACCCAGGAAGCATGGGTAGAGAATCTAGATGCTACCTGAGGAAAAGGCTTCTAATTTAGGACTCCAGCCTGGGATGAGAAGTCTCTTACCTCCTCCAGTGTCAAAGCTGGGAGCGCCATGTAGGATGACGAAGTGCAGGAACAAGGGTGAGGCGTTCATCTTCATCGCCCCGGACAGTAGCCCACTGAGAAACTGCACATACCTGCAGAGGACAGCAGCTAAGACTCCAGAACTGACTCCGAGATGCTGGAAGACTCGGGAGCAGGCAGAGGGGAATGGGAACTGTGTCTGGAGGCCCTGGGGACACCTTGTCCCACTGCACACAAAAAGTAGCAGTTATCCTATGCTTGAGAGTAGGGGAGTCCCTGCCCGGTGTGAGTCGCTGCCCGGCGGGAGCTCCATCCACAGCTCTGGGAACGGTTGGCGCTGGGTCATTTATGTATAAGCATCTCTTTCACACGGACACCCACACCTGGGAGGTCTCCTCACCTGCTCCCCAGCCCCTCGGGCCAGCAACCGAGACAGAGTCACATTGCACTGCCCCAGCAGCTCATTCCACTCAGGGCTCCCACATAAGCCATGAGGAGCAGCTACTCCCAAAGGCCCCTAAACTCTGCCCTGTCCACAAGCATTTCCTGAGCCCCCTTGTCTCAGCTGAGCACAGGTATGCCCACGGCCAACCACACACTTTAAAGATGTGATTCTGCCATAGGAATTCCAAGCACTGACCTCAGGCACCCAAGCTGACCTTATAGAAATGTCCACACCCTTTTGCACACACGGCAGCCAAGAGAGAAGTTTCTACACTAAGCGTGTGTGATCAAAGGTACTCATGAGGTATGACATGACAGCATGCCCGGAGTGTGAGCTGCTCCCGAGTCACACTCTGATGCTCCCCTGGCCTCCACTTTCCTTCCCTCTGCCCTGCATACCTGTACCCTGCTCCCATGGCAGCCCAGAAGCAGTCAACCCCTAAGGCCCCTGACAGCACTTCCACTATAGCCAAACAACCTTCACCAGAACCTGCAACACCTCTCTGGGAATCTGCCTGCCTTCTTGCCTTTCTCCACCACGGCACTGTATATACTGAAAGGGGGAGGAAAGCGAACAAGGAGAGAGATCCCAAAACATGCCATCGAATTAATAGTCCATGCACCAAGCAGGAAGCGGCTGTCACCAATACAGGGACACGGGGTTGTCATACCTCCAAGCCCCTGAATCATCACGGTCATGGGCTTCATCTTACAAAAAGAAAACACTTTGAATGCCCACTGGAGTGTAGACTAAATCCCTCGTTAACCAGGTGAGTTTGGAGGCAAAATAAACCAAACAGAAAACTTAGAGTGTTTTCCCAACTTAGGGTCTATCTTTTCAGAAAGCTTTAGTATAATTCACAAGTATTCTTTTCACTATATGGAAAATTAACTGTGATAGTTGGGGGTAACAGTGTCCCACCGTTCTAGTGGCAGACTGTTCTTCTTGCTAGGCCTGAGGTCCCCACAAACTCCCACGGGGGTCCGGCCAGCACACTACTCCATGAGCTTACTCTGACAGCAGTGTTTCCTGATCTGCTGTGTGCAGGTATAGAAGGGAGGCCCGTACCCGCACCCTGAAGGGGCAGAGCTCGGCAGCTGCCTTGGCTCCGTGGCCTTGAACAAAGGTCATAGACTTTCACCCAGGCTCAGGACGGAATACCTTGTTTAGAACAGCACTTCCCTGTTCCCAGCATTGGGTAATCCTGGACACCAGGAAATGTGTGTTCCTGGCTTGTCTTCCCTGCAAGGGGACTCAGTGACACTCCAGACCTGGCCTGGCGTGGGTGGCTCTTCAATGACCAACCAGGTGAGACAGATAGTGACACACAAGGACTTGGGAGGTGTGAGGGCTGTGTTGACAGTCACTTCTTGCTCTGATGCACACCCCTACCCAGCACTAGGGTGGACAGGGTGTCTGCTCACATTTCCTCCTGTATGACAAATGCTGTGTATGCGGTGCTTTACTACCTGAAGATTTGTGACCCCCACTCTCTATGTGGGACAAATCGTTCAGGGAGGCGACACTTCTCCCAGCTCAGGGGTCACCAGCTCCTATCAGTACTGCAGAGGGGGAAATCCCACAATGTTGGTTGTCTGTCTGAGACTAACATCCATGTGCCAGACAATTTATAAAGCGGATTTTGGTTTGGAGTTTTTTGGTCTTTTGTTTTTCTATACATGGTGACATGCCTGTGATCCCAGCACTGGGGAGATAGAAGCAAAATGATCCTAAATATCAGGCTATCCTGAGTCCCTACCTAAAAAGAAAAAAAAAAAAACTAAATAACTAAATAAACCAAAAGAAAGTGTTGCTTTTTCCATTGTGCAGAAAGAGGTGACAGTAGCAGAAATCTGCATCTGAAAGGTTTGCCCCTGGAGAAGCTGAGACAGAGAGCCACCTGTCTGCAAGTGGTCACTAGAGAAGGGAGGGCCGACCCCCACCTACATCCAGCTCTGTCTTTCCTCATGGAAACTTGCTCTTAATGGACAACGTCTTCCTGGCTGCCCACTAGGGGGCGCTCAGCTCACAGTAGACCCATACAAAAAGAATCCTCAGTAAGCCTCTACAAGTTCTACATCCACAGATTCAACCAAGTATCTTGGAGGAAAAGAACCCGCATCTCTACTGGAGACACGCAAGTTATCTTCCTCTAATGACTCCCCATACAGTGCAGCCAGTATAGCGTAACAGACTGGCACTCCGTGCTGGCACTGTCTTCAGTGCTGGATGGAATCTAGGAGGTTTACTGTGAATGGATAGTCAGCCTGAAAGAAGAAAGCAAAGTGGACGAACTGAAGGCCATCGTGGTAACATGTCAGAAAGACAAATACTGTGTTTTCTCTTATATGTGAACCCAGATTTCATGTACGTGTTACACACACACACACACACACACACACACACACACACACTTGGGGGAAAGAAGGGGACCAGTGAGAGGAGAAGGAATAGAATAAATAAAAGAACGGGGGTTTGTATATGAGCACAATGTACAATATATGCTTATCAAATGTTGTAATGGAGTCCATTATTCTGGACACTAATAAAACTGAAAAAACACAGAGGGACTCACACTGGCTCTACACAAATACCAGGCCATTTTATGTAAAGACCTTGGGTATCTACAGATTACAGACAGGATCTAGATCCAGTCCCCCTGCCAGGAGGTTCTGGGCAATTCCTTCTTTGTCCATGGTTGCTTAGAATGTTGAGTTTCTCAGCCACAAATCATAAGTTTCTCCCTCAACTTACAGAGAACTAATTATGATCTTAACTTTGAAATAATGTCTTGGCTTTGGTCCTAACATAACCTGCAGAACAGTACCCCGTCTACAGGCATTCAGACGACAGTGAGGGGCTGCCCCCATGAGAGCCAACAGCCATTACACATTCTTCCGCTCTCCGAGGTTTCCTGGGGTTTATCCGGAACATGCACTCAGTTGTTGAACCACTCAGGAATTATCAGTGTCTTCTGTTATAGGCACCAAGCAAGGTAGCAAGAAAATAGAAAAAAAGCAGCCCTAATCTCAAGGGCAGGGCAGTAGCTTGGAATGCAACAATGAACCCTGGCCTGGTGTCACTCTAAGCCAGGGATGGGTGAAAACTGTGAGCATTGGAAAATGAGCTGTTTTCCCTGTCTCTACTCCATGCACCAATATCATTAGAGGCTACTGATTTTGTAAGTGGAAAATCCTGACAGCCACGCTTGCCTGCCGGGTCCAGGCATTTGTGGGAGCCGCTTCTTGTTTGCTCCTCGCCTTCTGTGCAAGTCTTAGGAATTTTGCCATTTTGGAAACTGCTCCGTGGAAAAAAAATCATACTTCATGGGTTCAAAACAGAAACAGGGCTGTTTAAGAGGAATCCTCATCACATGTGGAAGTTTGCAAAAAGGATCTTCCTTGTGGGGCCTGTTGCCCAAAACAGGACATGGCCTGGCTCCAACCCAGGGTCCCACAATGTATCTCACAGTCTTCTAAGCCTAGACCTGTCTGAGCGGATGCAGACCACTAGAATCACTGTCAGTTGGCCTAGCCTGCAGCTGGACTAGAAAAAGCAGATGTGAAACCTCAAGACTTCCACACAAAGGTTCGGGGCTGCAACTAAACTTGGTCTCCAAAATGGGAGCCATATTGCAATTCTTTTTCTTCTTTTGTTTTGTTGTTGTTGTTTTGTTTTTCCGAGACAGGATTTATCTGTAGCTTTGGAGCCTGTCCTGGAGCTAGCTCTTGTAGACCAGGCTGGCCTCGAACTCATAAAGATCCACCTGCCTCCCTAGAGTTGGGATTAAAGGAGTAAGCCACCACTGCCCGGTTGCTTTTGCAATTCTTGGATAAATTCTGGTGTGTGGCTTAAGACAGAACTGCAACAGAGTTATGTGAGCACCTCAAAAAGAGAAAGTCCTGCTCCCTGAGAGCGGTGTGTCAACACTTCCGGGAGGCTACTACATACTGCAGCTAGGACAGGCTGGCAGGACACATGCAAAAGAAATTCTCCCTGGCGTCAGGGAGCTGATACTGTACAGTGGAAATCAGCCTATGATGATCTGAAGCCCCCGCTTGTGTCAATAAAGTTTAATTAGAACATGATCATAGTCACTTGTTTCCATACTAGATATGGTTGCTTTGGGTTCAAACCCTTGTGAGTTCAAACCTATGCAACCTGGAACATCTACCTACTAGCTTCTCCATCAAGATCACTGATCCCTGCTTTAGCAGGCAGAAGTGGGTTCAACATGATCATAGAAAGCAGTGCTCATGCTCTGACGGAGAAGACGATCCTCAGACCAGAAATGAGAGGGGGCCTTGAGCCTTCCTCTCTGGGAGAACACCACAGCGGGACACAGGCCTCAAGAGACACATGGCTTTCACTCAACATAGGATGACGCACATTCTTCCTTGGGAAGCAGCAAACCTCTCCCTCATCTTCTTAGGCAATGCAGAGAAAAGGCCAGAGGACCTCTGTCCCCCCAGCTAGATACATACATACCTCTTCTGGGAGGGCTCCATTAAAGCCGAAACTTTGTCATCGTAAAACTTCTTCATGGCAAACCTGTCCAGGGCCTGGTCAGCGCTGGGGAAGCAGAGGTAGGGTGGGAGAATGAAGAAGTATATTAGGTCAGTGGTATCCACAGCCCCTCAAGGGCGAATGACCAGGATGCACAATCCCACATCTATCAGTGACCTTCACACACAGCCCAACATTTCCGACCAGGAGCACACCCAGTTCAAAGCAGGAGCCACACCGAACTCCCCTCTGAACACCCTCATCTCAGGCTGTGATTCTTAGCTGTGCCCCTGGTTCAGAAGGAGAGGAACTGGCTGAAGGCCACAGTCTCGGAACTCTGAACGTGCAAGGAACAAGCTTATTGTGTGCACACAGCATACACCCTGTGAACTCTTCCAAGTATAAGTGACAATGGTGAGCAGCTTCATGGAAAGGCTTGGAGGTTGAGGACAGGGCAAGGCTGATTGATGATCGGGATGGTGTGTGGGGACTCGGGCTTCACTGAGTATTTCTAAAGAAACTCCAAAGAAAGTAAATCTACTTTGCAAGCGGCCGAACTGACCTTCAACCCCATCCCTAAAGTTCACGTTGGTATTCACAGAATCTTCTGGAATCTCACTGTGGAGCACTCTAGGTTACTGACATGATTAAGCCATGAAATAAGATTTATTTAAACAAAAAGCATCTTTAAAAATCAGATAAACAGCCAGGCATTGTGGCACACGCCCTTAATCCTAGCACTCAGAAGGCAGAGGCAGGCAGAGGTCTATGAGTACAAGGCCAGCCTGGTCCACAAAGTAAGTTCCAGGCCAGTCAGGATTACAAGGTAAGACCCTGTTTCAAAGGAAAAATAATACCCACAACAAAAAGTCAGATAGGCATGTGAGTTCTCCATGAAAAATGTGTATATACCCTCCATAAAAAAGACACATCAAGAATATTGAATATGACCAACGAGGCCAAGGAAAAACACTCTTAATCAAGTTCAGAGTGAGTAAATGCTTAACTCACTGCATGCATTTGTCTCAACACAAAACGGGGCTTGGCCAGTGAGGCTCTCACAGACGGAGGGGTCCATCCAAGCCCAGAACATGTCAGAGAGCAAGTGGTATGTCTTTCCGGTTGAAAGGCATGGTTTCATAGCCCATTTTCGACAGTCTCTTCTTCTGAAATCCATTCATTCAGGAGAACACCCTAGCCAGTGCTGGTGTTGAGAAGTCCCAGAATGCATAGTTTTTAATGGCATTCATCTTCTGAACTCCTCAGAGTGCTGGGAACAAGAATGCTCTCTCTGTGTGACTTGCCGTCTCTGTTTTATGTTATTTAAAGCGTGTAATAAACTTAAATCAGGTGAATCCCCTGTGGCATCTAATATATAACCTAAGGGGTAAGGGGGATCGGGCACATGTGTAAGAATAGCAGCTCTGGGAACAACCTGCGTTCTAAGGAAAAGGAAACACAACCTGGTAGGCAAACGTAATAAATGCTTACATATGTAATAACCATATTGAAGGATTGCAGAGTCTCATAGCCACTTGGGCTGTACTGGGGCAGATGCTCAGAAGGTAGGATGAATTTCGGAGAGCAAGAGACAGAAAGTGTAGTGATGGGTCACCCACTTAACTGAAATCCCTTACTGCTGTGACCCCTGCTGAACAGCAGCATCAGTGGCGGCTCAGACCCCAGTGTGATGCTATGCAAAGCACTCTACAGTAGTCATGCAGCATGGCCACAGCACATGGAGGTTCGGCTACAGTTCCCACCATTCAGATAAGGACAGGAAGCCGAGGCCCAGAGAGACTCGTGCATGCTTCCCACCATTCTCATGTGATGTACCAACGATACCAGGAGTGCAGGGTTTTACAGCTCTGGGGATATGCTTTGGGGGAGAAAGGGTGTTTTCCCAGTAAATACAGTTGGGGAAACTGCTCTAAACTATGCTCACTCGGGTGGTCTGTATTGAGAAAGAGCCAGGCAAAGTGTGGTATCCGACCAAATTCCTTTCACATAACTGAGGGGCCAATGTGACTGGGAATCGGGATGTGTCTGGCACACACATGATGCTTATTCAAACCCACAGGGCTCTGCTTTTCACCCCGGGGTAGGGTTTCCTCCTTGGCAGCACCAGCCTCTCAATTTGTTTCCAGAGAAAACATTCCAAAAGTCCAATTTCACTCCTTCGCACTGCAGAGGAGAAGGTTCCCAAGCGAGATGAGAAGGCTTCGGTTTCCTCAGGGTGGAATGGCCTGGGTACACAAGGCAGCTATTGAGAGGGTCAGGGGTGTGCAAATGCACAAGCCACCAGGAATGATATTTTCTTTTCTGGTGCAGGGCTGGGGAGGAATCTGAGGTCCTGCATCCACTAAGCGAGTGTATTAAATTAAGCCACACTCCTACTCAACAGTGACATCTTCTAAACTGAGAAAGAACTCAGAAGACAAGAGACACCCTGACTGTCCAGTGCCTGGATGGCTGTGCTAACGCCAAGGTACTATTTATTATCTTAGAAGAAAACAGTGGACTTCGCAGAACATGTTTGTTTGTTTGTTTGTTTGTTTTAAAAAAAAAGATGATGGTTCTCAGTGCCACGATTTACAGGGTATGAATTGACCCAGTGAGGATTTTCAACAGGGTGACATCCGCCTGTCATTTTTCATTAGCGAACGACTGGGCTCACTTAATTATATCAGCTTCGTGGAGCCCCCTGGCATCAATCACACAGAACATGTCAAATAGAAAGCCTTGCTGGAAGCTGAGTTCAGGCACAGAAGACTCTGGTACTAAGGGACAGAGGTAAGATGAGGGTGGCTGCCAGGAAGATCACTGCCCACATACATATGCGAACCAACATCCAACAGCCTGCGGAAAGGAGCCCCCGTCTCCATCCTACCTGGCTGAGACATTGGTGAAGTGCATGTAGGATGATATGACCACTCCGATGCGTCCTTTACCGCCCTGCAGGAGACCACAGAGAAATCAGTGTTCTTTCTATAGAAACCCACACAGAGACAGGATGAGACAGGAGCAGGCTCAATTACGAGCAGAATGGCAGAACAAGCATTAACCCCTCTGCTTCCCTAGGATGGGACAATCTGGCACCGAGCACAGCAGTAGCTCCCCGCAGCAGAGACTCTTCACACAGGGGCCCATAACAAGAGCAGGTGCTAGCTGGGTGTCTGGAGGAGTCCCCAGAGGGCATATCCACAAGGCGGCAGCCAGTCATTCACCACCTCCCAATTAGGTTAGGTGAAACCGTGCCAGGAACTGCAGCAATTAGCATGACTTAATCACCCAGGTGAAATAGGAATGAATGCCTACTTAGATGCTGGCAGTGACAGAGCTGTGTGTGTGTGTGTGTGTGTGTGTGTGTGTGTGTGTATGTATGTAGCAAGACCTCTGAATATGGGGAGCTGGATCCCATCAGTGCCCAATACGATACACAACAAGGGGGACCCCTTCTACAAGAGGGAATCCACGTCTCAGGCAGGTGCTATGGAAATCCTTGTAGACACAATCACATTTAGAGCTGATGTCATCAACAGTAGAAGAAGAAGTACTATGGCAAAGCACCCCCACTCAGAACCACAGACTGGACTGAAACTTCGGGACATACTACTATACTAACGGGGGTCTGCAAACGGCAACCCATAAGCCCGTTCTATTCTGCCTACCAACTCTTTTCCTACCACCTATGAGCTAATTTTTATTATCACATATTTTTAAGCATTGTAAAAGGAAAAAAGTAAAAATCACACGAAACTTAAACGCCCTCATCTTCTGCCTAGAACCTGGCTGTTAGGTTTCAGCAGGCCCCACCCACCCTGCAGGAGCAGGCGTGAAGAACTCGGCAGGACCACAGAGTCTAAAATGCTGCCTAAATTTTTGGAGAAATGTTTGCCAAGCCCTGATCCCAAATCATACAAAGCCAAACTGGCAGGCCACTAACCTGGAGCAACCCAACTCTATTCATTTCTTTCTCTCTCCTTTTTAAAAAGTCAGTTCTAGAGATCAGACTTGTGCATACAAGGAGGCATTTACAACTGAGTTACAGCCCCAGCCCCCAGCTCTATTCCTAAAAGCGAATAAATAAACAAACTCAAATTTTCATAAATCAACCATCGTGTGAAGCTGGGCATGCTGGGAGATACCAATGCAGATGCTTGGCAAATTCTTGGCAGTGTGATCCTGGTTCTTGGCATTATTAACTATAAGGCAGCTAATGTATTTCTTGCATTAAATGGTCTTTGTCTTAACAACAGAAGTCAATTAGAAGGAAACACCAGCTCAGCCCAAACCAGACCCACACATGCTGATACCATTTATCATTTTTGTGGCACTGGTGATGGGTCCAAAGGAGAGGTGAGGCTGGGGGAGAAGAGCATTACAGCAATAGTGGAGGCCTTGATAGTTCATTTCAATAGCAGATAGACCATCTGGACAAGAAATAACTAAGGAAGTCAGACCCAAACTGCCTTTCAGACTAAATGACCCTATCACACGTAGACAGAACATCCCACCAGCAGCAGAACGTGCTTCAAGGTCATAAGGAGCATCCCCCAGGGTGGTTCATGCATGAAGCCACAAAGCAATTCCCAAGAGAGTTAAGCCTGAAATCCTACCAAGTATCCATTCTGACTACAGTGGTATGAAAATATAAATCAGAATGAGGAAGGGGAGAGGAGGACTTGCAAAATTCTCAAATATGTAGAAGTTAAACAACATGTTAATGAATGGCAGTCCAGGCAAACAAGGGGTTAAAAGGAATGTTTACAAACATATTGCGACATGGGCTGGAGAGATGGCTCAGTGGTTGCGCACCTTCAGATCAGCTCTTAGCTCACAGGTTGTAGGAAAACATGGTAGGTGGAACATACTGGTACCCAGAGTATTGGCTGCAGCCTTTTGGATGTCCAGTTCTGTTTCAATCTTAACAAAATCCTAGACTCACCCAACCACCATCGACTGGAAATCTTCCTCACTGTGGACTTTCAAGCAAGGGCTAAAATGTGGACAAACGCTCCCACCAGAAGCACTGCTTCATTCAGGTTGGCAATGGCTTGGACATAGGTTGAACACAAAACACAACTTGCAGCCAACAGCAGAATGGCTACCTTAGTTCAGCTCTACGTGGCCCCTGCCCTAGCTGAGATAGGTCCATTCCTTAGTCGTTCTAGGCATGTGTGAAAAGAAACACTCATTGTGCCAAGCAAGCCAATTCCAGCCCTGCGGCCGTGGTGATGGCATCAGTAACTACAGCGTCACATTAAAAGCTTATCCCTCGTGGCACATCCTCTGAGTATTTCAAAAGTAGTTCAAAGCGAGGAGCCGCCTACAGTGTGTGACAGAGGGAGTATCCCAAGCCCGGTCACTGCACACCCACCCGAAGGGAGCCTAGAATCGCTGACGGAAAGTGGGAAGGGAAGAGTATCTACATGGTGTTTTCATCTTTGGTGATCCATATGTTTTCAATCATATTATAATCATAATTTGTTTCAATTTCATTAATATTCAAAACAAATAAGTAGAATAAAATGGACAGAAGGGGCCTTTAAAATGTCTAGCAATACCAGAAACCTCAGACCTATGAATTCTAAAGCCAAGCTGCAGGCTTGGGGGTTTATTTTATTTTATGATGACTAGGAAACTTAAAATGTATACCTACATGGAGCATGTTGCATCAGCTGACAAGCACCCTGGAATCACAGAAAATCAGCTGGTGACTGTGACCAGCACCCATTTCAACTCCCTACCCCTTAACCGCTAGAAGCAAAGCTAGACCTCAGAGCGTGTGGGGACCAGGGACACTCACCCTGCAGTGGATGACGACCACATGCTGGGGGTCGCTGTTCAGCCAGGACTCCTGAGCTTTACAAATGGTGCACATCTTGTCAAGAGGTGGTGCATGCAGTTCAGGCCAGCCCACATCCATTATCTGCAAGAGAGAGAAGAGAGCTGCCTCAGTTTCCACTGCCTGAACCGTTTAGAGGTAATCTGACAATGACATAATCCCCTTGGGAGTCACGGAGGATGCTATATTGGCCTCTTCTGAAAGCTACTGAGCATCTGGCCAGGTTCCTTTATAGGAAAGAAATTAATGGCCACCACATTGCTCACAGGCCACACGCCTCCCAGGCACTGGCCTGTTCTGTAGTAGCTGGGTGACAATTCGACAGAGGCCTTTCAGAAGCACTGATGGTTCAGAGTTGACTGTAGAGTAATCCAAGGACCTCCAAGATCTGAAACAGCGATTTGTGGCCCACATTGCTGTCAAATTCTGCCCTCTCCAGCTAAAAAGGAGTCTGGCAAATACAGTGAACCCCATGTTTCCCATGCCGTACAGACCACACTTCAGGGACACAGAGTCCTCTAGAAGAGCAGAAGTACCTTCTATTTGGGCACAAGAACATAGGAAATCACTGAGAAGGGTCAAGGCTCCAAGCAAGCAGTCCTGCCTCTGGCCACATAACATGGGAGGGACACATGGGGGTGTTGTTTCTCCTCCTATCTTCTACCTTTGTGGGATGGGGCAGAGCCCTTTCATAGAGGGAAGTAGTAGAAAGGAGTTCAATAGGGTGGACCACAGCTAAAGCAGCCAGCATGGTAGTTCCATGAAGCTCTGGGTCCCTTTCCTGTACCCAGAATAAACAAGATACATATAAATTCTAGACTGTTCTCTTTCCTAGTAGGTCTGGGACCAGAATCAGCTTAGAGTTTTTACAGGTTCTGAGGATTTGATAGACATTACCAGCTGAATCCATACTCTGAAAAACTGTAAATACAACAACATCTAAACTTCTTGAACATGCAGCACTCCAACACTTTTGAATTTTATAGCCTTTTTATCCCAGGTTATGGGATGTTCTGCTGTACTGTTCTACTCTAGAGGTTCCAAAGCATTTCAAGATATAGAATATATATGCAAACACAGTCCCACAGTCCTAATTTCATCCCCAAATTTTGCTACTGAGAATAATCATGAATGAAGGGGATACTTGGGACTATTAAGAGGTCTCAGAAGAAACATCTTCGCATCAATGGGAAGGCTCCTGCACCTTGGTTGTGTTGGCTAACAAATCTAGACACAGGCTACGTGTGCGAGTACGCACAGACACATGTGAATGCAGACTAGTGAGTTGTGAATGAAGCTTGTGAGCTCCAGGGACACAAGCCATCTGACTCAGGTGTTTTTACAAATGAGCATCCCTTCTCCAAATCACATCGGGTCTGACAGGTTTCAGATCCTGGAATATCTGCATACGTGTATCTTGGAGACAGGACACATGCCTAGACATAAAATAAATCCATTCATTTCATCTGCACCATATGTACATCACCTTGAGGCAATTTTACATATTTTCAATGTTGTATGCAGTTTCCAGGGTGTGGAATTTTCCTTCCATGCATGTATGTGTACATACCGCCCCCACACATACGCAAAATCAAATAACTTTTTTTACTTAAGGCAAAACTTGGTTGTATGTCAACGTAACACCATGTATCAAATTTAAGTTCCCTGCAAGAGCCCTAAGTGCTCTTAGCTACTGAGTCATTGCTCCAAGCCAAGTGTTAGCTATTGAGTCGCTAGAATTTCACATTTTCAGATAAGGGATGCTGGACCTGTATTTAAGTAATATAAGTTGCCGCCATCAAATGAGACAAAGTGTTCAGTACCTCACATCCCATGAATATATTATTTTTTTTAATTTTGAAAGTAAACAAAGGATATAAATAGTCATTAATGTTTCTTGATACCAAGCTGTGTTCCACGAAGCCTCTGAGAAATTACTTTTGCACAAACAAAACATGCATCACTTACATTTTACAAATGCAAGATATGAAGAAATAAATCCCATACCTTTGGATTGAGCTTCGTAAGGTCATATCTCTTCTCTGAAAGATTTAATACCTACAAAGGGAAAAAAGAAACGATTTTAGACAATGCATGGTTCCCAGAGAAGAAGGAAAATAGACAACTGCATTCAAAGAGTTGTCCCTGAGGATCAAGGCCCAAAAGAGACTGAAATGCACAGATGTGCGTGTCATCACAGGACACAAAGTAAGATGCACAGATGTGCGTGTCATCACAGGACACAAAGTAAGATGCGGATGGCATCCGGACCTCTGTAAATCCTGCGCTTGCCTTTTGTAGCCAACACGAGCACTTTTCTGAGCTAAAATGGACAAGGTGAACTTCTCCTTTTCGATGTTTTGTTGTTTGTTTATCTGCAAACATTCTAAAACCTAGGCCTGTACACAGGACTCTGTCCGTAGCTCTCCCTGGCCTGCTCCTCACAAGGGCAGGGAGTAGCCGTTCCTCAGTAGAGGAGCCGGGTATAAAAAAGCCTCAGCTGGAGACTCAACACTAACAAACCACAGCTATCTGTGAAGCCGAGTCCAACAAAAGACCACCTGCGCCCTCATAGGATGCATGGTTCCTCCTTCACTCAGCGCCCCCCCCCCCCCCCCCGTTACCTCCGGGACCCACTCAGCGCCAGCCCCACTCATGCCCTGCTTGAATCATCAGTGTTCAGCTGCCCTTCCCTGGAGGGCACAGAACACCACGACCTGACCAGCTACCTTACTCTGGGTGCCTTCCATAAAATGTTGGAGGGTTGGGAAGGCCCGCAGTCTCTTTGGAAAGATGCGAGGGGGGGGGTGGGGCGGGGGAGGGACTGGTCTGGGCACAGCTTCCCACTGGAGGAGCCCTGGTCCTGAAGGGGCAGCAGTATGAAGGCAGAGACAGCTCTGGAGGGGTCTCATGAAAGGCGTGGCCATCTTGGGGGCTAGGATGCTACTCCCCTGTGCACAACCAGGTTGGACCTCAGGGAGTCCAAGGGCCGTAAGAGGTCATTGGCAGTTCATGCAGAGACTCCTGGAAACTACAGCTGGTCCCCATTGAGCCTAACCCTGAGTCAAGCCGTGGGAGAGGGCTGCTAAGGGTGACAATAACCTCCTTGTTGGCTTTGTAAGATTAGCTCTCCGGAGATAAGGCGGCAGCATGAGAGAAGGTGCTAGAAGCTGTCGTGTAATCTAAGCAGTGATTACAGCAGCAGAAAGAGGCTCTGTGGGGCAGGCGGCCCTGGAAGAGAACAGGGCCAATCAGAGAGAGGAGTGTGAGAAGCCATTCTTTTACTTCTCCTCCAATATGGTCCCCCTCAGAGTACACATATTGTGAAATCAGTCTATCTTTGCTTGCTCCAAGGACCACCCATGTTTCCTGGACACCCACCCTCTTGCCTTTCCAATGTACTAGACAGCAGGAGGGGACAGAGTTGCTTCCTGACACCAGGGACACCACCTGGCATTAGCCAGGGGTAACTGACTGGGAATACCTACAGTCTCAGAAGCCAGTCTTCCTGATGAGAAGTCATTATCAGTGCAGGACAGAGGCAGCAGCCACCCCTATAGTCAGCGGTCACAACCCACGACACAACCAATAAGAGCAAAGCTTACAGTGGAAGGGCACAGCGCATGTTCCACCCCAACTTCCTAGACTTGCTAGTCAGGGTCCAGAACCTGTAAGCAAGGCATATGACATACCTGGCCCTCGCATGCGCCCTCTCAAGGATGCCCGCCTAGAGGCCCTCTGTCACACTGTGGCTGCCCGGCCCACTCACCAGGTAGTTGTCTCCATGCTTAGACTTGAGCATGCGTGTGACTTCCTGCAGGCTGTGTAAGTAAGACTCCTCTGAGCAACTGGCAGGGAAGGACACTGCGATGATGCGCTCTGTGACATAGGTAAGGTCCAGTTCATGGCTGTCCTCCATGGCTGGACTCAGGACCAGGGGCCTGCGAGAGATGAGGAGGCAGGGAGTCAAAGGACAACAAGAAAAGGGATGAAGACTCAGCCTCTGGGATTCTCAGGAGCTGGGAACAGCAGTTTTCTGGGAATCCATATATATGGTTCTCCTATGCACTGGGGTACGTAATATCTATTGCAGGCCAACACTGAGCAGGTGCAAGGCCCTATCTACTGGGGACATGCAGAGAAGAAGCTCGGAGAAGAGAGCAGGTGCATGGGCAGAAAGCATGTGGGCACACAGGAAGGCATACCGGGCTCCACCGTGTGCCCAGACTGGCTCTTGGAAAAGGAGCACAGCCCTGACTCCAAGGTTTCAAGGTTAGCAAGAAGCAGCTAAAGGAAGTAAACCTCAGGCGACGTGGATGGTGTAAGCAGAGCCCAGAGGCAATTAGAGAAGCCAGTTGTCGCCCTGTCTACATGCTACTACTCCTGGGGACAGAGGCGAGTGAAGTAGACAGGACAGACTGTGGGGAGAAGGGGGATTCGTGCAAGAAGCCTTTAGATGAGGCTAGAACCAGCACTGGAAGGAGAATGAGCGGGGATGTGGTGAGAGTGATAGCCTGCCGTGGACAAGTGCCTTCTCCCCACAGGCTCTTTGGGGAGAGCCCCAGGTGAACAGGATGCAGCAGGGGCCTGCACTCAGGATGCAACGGGGATCCAAGGGACATGGCAGAGTACTAAACCCAAGAGAAACACTAAGAGAAATCAGAGCAGGGTCATCTGCGACCTTGCTGCTACCACTCCCAGCCTGCTTGCCTGGGTTCATTTTTCCTACTTTCCTTGGCTTTGAGAAAAAAAAAATGATCAAAAACAAGAAAAAATGGTTCAGCACACCTTCATGAACACATCTGTCCTTCAAATCACCAGACTTTGGCCAGTTTTGTCCCTATTCACCCTTCACAATCACCAGCATCCTGCAATCTCTACCCAATGCTTGCCAGTTTCTTTCTGTCCAGAAGTTCACTCTACTCTTGCAACTACTTTTAAGCAAGCCTAGTTATTTTTCACTGTAAAAAATTCCAATAGTGCCAGGGATAGTAGCACACATCTTTAAACCCAGCACTCGGGAATCAAGGGCAGGTAGATCTCTGTGAGTTCTTAGCCAGCCGGTTTACATAGGACTTCCAGGCCAGCCAGGGCCGCCCAGTGAGAGCTTGTCTCAGATAGACAGACAGACAGTCAGTCAGTCAGTCAGACAGACAGACAGACACCAGGAAAACCGTTATAGTATAGATTTCTAGAAAACTTATTATTACCAAATAATCTATACCATTATCATTTTTAAGAGTAGAAACAAGTATTCAATACCATAAACACCAAGTATTCAATATCATAAACATCAAGCATTCAATACCATTGAATTTTTTTTACAGTTGGCTTATCTAAGCATTTTCAGAGATTTTTTTTTCTTTTCCATCTTATATTTTTAAACACAGACATAAAAGAGTCTTGATTATTTTTTAAATGAACCGAATTAAACACTAATAATAATAATACCAACAATAATAGTAATGATGATGATGATAATAATGCAAACTCTTGGCTAGCTCAGACCACAAGTAGGTGCCTCCCAAAGGTTCTGCATGCTGACTGGGCTGAAGGCCACCTCTTCTGGGCCCTGCTAGCAAGAGGCTGATCCCTGGGGTATGCCAACCTCACTACAGATGTCATACAATCAGATGTGAGCAATGTCACTGTCTACCAAAGACAATCACAGAGGCTTCCACAATATAAAATCAGAAATGGTTGTAAACAAGATGTTTTACTTTTGCTGATTAAATCTTAAAGCATTAGTTGGGGGCGGACTGGGATGCTCAGTGATAGAGCACTTGCCTACCATGAACCAGGCTACAAGTCTAACACCTAACATACCTCCAAAAAACATCACGATCACCACAAAATAAATAATGGAATATTCTAGTCTCCTCTCTGGAGATCACCCCAAACCAGGGCCAGGGACATAGGAATGAGCTTCATTCCCAGGGAACACTCACCTTGAAGGCTTGTCACAGCGGAGTGCAGCAGGTGGGGTGGAACTCTCGGGAGCCTGCAAATATCAAAACACGAATCCTTCTGAGATTTCCTTACACACCAACCCATATGGCACTTAAGACCAACCACCCAGCCTTGCTGCTGCCGCCGCCGCCGCCACCTCCACCAGGAGGAAAAATGACAGCTGCCCCACGGCTTAATCATCAATGGTAAGCAAACACTGTCACCTCCACCCCCTTATCACCCAGGAAGGTGTGTAGCATAGAGCATTTCAGCTTGCCCCATGGCACAATCCCGCAGATGGGCAGCAGCCAGGCGATGGTGAGACGGCGCCCCCTCCAGGGCTGGGCGGCCACAAACTAAACACGTACGGAAGACTTTGATGTGGTACAGAAGCACCATTCACATCAACGTCAGCCGCCGTGGCTAGTCATAAATGTGTGGCGGCCACACTCAGGGGTGCTAAATCTAGACGTATTCCAACAATGAGAAAAACTCTCAGGTTCTAATTCCTGTTCACAGTGGGTATATAAGGGCCGTATTACACGCCTAGGTCACACAGACGCCTAGGCAGCTCCCTCCATGGCACTCCAAAGTACTCTTCCTGCCCCATTCCTGGGGGCACTGGGTGACACTATACTAAGAAGCCGAGAGCCTGTTTGGCGGCAGAGCCCTATGAATACTCAGAAGCATCAGACACCCCCAGTTCTAATTTATTTATCTGGGCCCCCTCCACTCAGAGTGATTGTGGGGACAGAAAGTAGACAGTACAAATACGTCAAGAAAACTGTTTTCCCAAAATCATTGCCACTTAAAGCCTCCCAGGAAATCTGAAACCCTAAATAGAAAACCCCTGCCTCTGAAGCAGAGGCCGGAATCCACCCCCGTGTTGGATATCAAGGTTCCCAGAGCATTTAAGTTGTTGTACTCCACAGCACCATCTCCCTAGGCTCCTGGAAGCCTCTTCTCTCATTCATCAGATAACAGAGGGAGGCCCCACTCCTCCCCCGGGCCCTTTGGGGGTCACTGGCATGCTCCATGTCATAGCTTGGAAATCTGTCTAGCCCCAAATGACCACAGCCTTCACTGCTCGCTCCCAGTCGGGGGAGTCCTCCTGTCTCCAGAAGCTCCCCTCTTAGCCTCCCAACTCACTCTTGTACCCTTGAATCTGTGAAAGACTCCAGGGAGGGCCTCAAGTCCCTCAGATGGCAGGAACTGAACTCGGGGGCTCAGACTAGATGCTCTCACAACAGAATTTGTATTTATTAGAATATAAGAAAACAGAAACTTCTAAGAAGATTTTGCACAAGTGTTGCTGCGGGTAAACTGAGTCCTGTGAGTGGATATGACAAGCATTTAGGACCCACATTACTAAAGCAACGACCAAGAGTATGCGGCACGAGACATGCAGACAGCGCTTACATAACCGCAAAGGGCGGCGAACAGCAAAGAAAGAACTGTGACCAGGAAACCGCACAGCTCTGCAGGTGCCGTGGACGCTCCACCACTGAAATGCATCCTACATAGATGATGGGCAGCATCCTGCTCAAGCTCCTGACCTCACTGGTGTGCCAGGGGAACAGGTGCTCCTCCACTAGGAGTGGGGCGGATCCCTGAGAAACCCACCCAGAGTGGAAAATACCATAAAACAAAACTGAGTTTAGGGGTTGAAAAGATAGCTCAGCAGTTCAGTGAGCTTTCTATTCTTCCAGAGGATCTTTAGTTCCCAGCACCTGCACTGGGCAGTTCACAACTGTAACTCCAGCTCCAGGGACTCTGGAGCCCTCTTTTGGCCTCTTTGGCACCTGTACATGCGTGGCCTACACACAAAAAGACACATACACACAAACATATGCATGCGTGCACCCGTGTACACACACACACACACACACACATTAAAATTTAACTAATAACTTTTCAAATAAGCTCAACATATCTAATCTAGAGAATAGCCTGGCAACAACACTTAAGAGGTCACCACATCCCCTTGTGATCACATGGCTGACCAGAGCAGAGCTGACAACCACTGTGCATCTTAGAGATATACTATATAGCACTAGTCCAGGAAAAGATCTAAGTTCAAATTAATACGATTTCCATTTAATGCTCATGAGTTTCTAACCGTTCCAGCAGGGAGGAGCTCATCATTTTCCTGCCACTGGGGGTGGGGCTCAAGTTCAATCATCCTAAATCAGGATCGATTGCTGTGGGATAATGCTCTTGTACACTGTAAAGATTTGTCACTTATATTAATAAAAGGCTGATTGGCCAGTAGCCAGGCAGGACATTTAGGCAGGGCAACCAAACTAGAATGGCAAGAGATGCATTGCCACCCAGACACAGAGGAAGCAAGATGAGAATGCCTGAGAAAAGGTACCAAGCTACATGACTAGACATAGATAAGAATTATGGGTTGATTTAAGAGGTAATTAATAACAAGCTTGAACTAATAGGCCAAACAGTTTATAATTAATAAAAGCCTCTGTGTGCTTCTTTGGGACTGAATGGCTACGGGACCAGATGGGACAGAGACTTTATCTACAGCCATTGGTACCTGAATCTCTCACACAACAGACATCCACATCCATGCAGATGCAAGCTGGATGCTGATGCAGGCTGGAATAGAAGCAGTTTCTTTCTGGAACACAGTTATGCACTATTTCCCTCTTATATTTCCACAGATTCATCTTTTGTTTATTTGTCTTGCCCCACTTTTTACCAAGAACACAGAGGACATCCAAATAGGGAGAAAGCCACCATGCCTGCATTCAGCTTGGGGACACTGCCAGCCTCAGGTGTGACATCTAGGCCTCTCCCTACCATCCAAAGGGCTGCTCCCTGTCTTTTATTCCCAATGAGACAGTGTCAGACAAAGCAGACAATGGAAGGAGCCACAAAAAATGGACCCAAGGCTCTTGGACCTGGAGTGAGAACCCCAAAAATGTGCAGTTGCTCACAGGCAAACCTGGCCGAGAGACTATGGAGGCCTCAGAGGAGCCCTGCACCTCCCTTGCAGCTGTGGTCCAGTCACATGGCCTGGATCTGCTGCCCAGGACCATCCCATCACCCTTATAAGCCTAGTTCCACCACCACAGGAAGTTTCCAGAGATGGATGCACCTCCCTTTGGACTCCATACCAGTCCCAGTGGGTAATCAAAATCACTGACACTGGGACAGGATCCTGTCATGTTTCCAGGTGACTTGGCGATTGTGGCCACCACCCTACTGGAAGGCAGCACTGCCCTGCTGGAGGATGCCACCACTCTGCTGAAGGACATGTGACCCCAGGTGTGGCGGCATCACTTCATAACTGCAGAATAAATGCATGAATGAAGGCTCAGTACCAGGACTCTGGCTCAGGAGCTACCATAGGCCTGGGCTCAGTCACTGTCCTCAGCACCAATTTCTTCAGTACCAAGGGCAGGTTTGAGGGCTCTGTTCTATTCATCCACACAAAGCAATTAGCAATTACTAGTAAAAAGACCAGGAGCCTCAGTGAAAACACAAGCTGGATTCCTCACTGCTTCTCCTGTGATTCAGCAAACAGAATGCAGAAGCAAGCTCTCCAGGAAAGCAGAGAAAAAACAACACAGAAACCCTAAGAGAGGAAGACTGAAGTTACAGCATCTCTGACAGACTTCTGCTTACTGGAACCGGGAAGGGCTCATTGCAACAAAATCCCCAACTTATAACAAAAAGAAAAAATGTTCCATGTATCAAACTTTCAAGACGCCTCTGAGTGGAAAATGTAATTTGTTGACCTATGTTGTCCAATGATGACAGACGAAGCTGCCCTGGCCTCTACACCTGACCATACCAATACCCCAGGCTGCTCACTTAGGGGCACCATGCTGGAACCCAGGCTGTGGTCTGAGTATGACCTGTCCTCACCAAGACTTAAGCTGAGATGAATCCTTGCTTAAGTTTCTTCAGGAGGAATCTTTAGTCTGTCTTCATTTGTGACTAAGACATTCACAGACTCATGAGCTAACAGGCCAGCTTCAATGAGTCTGCCACAAGAACCCCTTTACTGCTGCCTCTTCGTGGGCTCCTCTTGCCACGTGACACCCTCTGCCACTGTGAGACTCTGCAGAGACCCTACCAGCAAGCAGGCCTGTCAGGCCCAAGGAGTAGCAGTTGGTCCTTGACAGTGTGAACTCTGCAAAACAAGTTTGAGGTGGAATCTCAGAGAGACCTTTCAAATGTAGTCCCTTACTAGATAGCCCTTTCGCCTGGTCCTCTCCATCCCTAAATAAATATCCATTCCAGGAATGAAGAGATGGCTCAGCAGTTAAGAATGCTTGCTGCTCCTGCAGAGGACCTGGCTCTAATTCCCAGCACCCACATGGCAGCCACAACCACCTGCAACTCCTGTTCCAGGAGAGTTGACGGCCTCTGCGGGCACCAAACATACATGTCGTGTACATACATGCATGCAGGCAAAATGTGCACACATAAAAAAGTAATTTTTGAATAAAATTCAAAAAGTAAACAAGTGTTTGTTCTCTATAAATTACCTAGGCTGTGGTATTTGGTCACACATAGCAACAAAATCAGACTAAAACACTCCCCTGCACCCAATTTCTTCAAGTACCTCGTCGGTTTCAGAATTTAAATCATACCACTGACCATGAGTCACACCCCACAGCCTTGCAGTTTATCAAAAAAACACAATGAGGTTCGCTGGCCAAACCACTTCGCTCTCCCACTAAACTTGATTTAAAGTTTACACCCACATGGAGAATGTGTGACGGTTGGAACCTGGCACTGGAGCCAGGCATGGTGGGCAGGCCTGGAATCCCGGCTCTGGCGAGGTTGGGCAGGATCTGCTGAGGTCAGCCTGGGATACAGAATGAGTTACAGGCCAACAAGAACTGTGACTGAGACCACCCCTCATCACCACCAGCACCACCACCACCACACCACCACCAAAAGAACTAGTATTCACATGACAAGTGTGGTAGGTGTGACCCTCCCTGGAACGAAAGAAAGGATGCCAAATCTCTAGATGTGAGGGTGTCCGTGAGGACCCAGGGCCAGTGCACACTGGAGGAA